TGTGTGTGTGTGTCTGTGGAGTATTATTCAGCCTTAAAGAAGAACAAAATTATGTTTTTTGCAGGAAAATGGATGGGGCCAAAGATCATCAAGTTAAACAAAACAAGCGAGATTCAAAGACACGTGTCATGTTTTCCTTGTCTGCGCAATCTAAAAAAATGTGATATGAAAGCAGAAGGGAGACTACTGTTAGAAAAGAACAAAGAAGTAAGGGCAAAGACGTTAAGGGAGGGTAACGAGGCGCAGATATGCTGGAATTATGTTATATGCACGTATGAAAACACCACATTCAAACTCAGTATGTTGAAAATTAATATGCACTAATAAAACGTATTAAATATCTTAAAAACGAAAGATGTGTAAAACTGCTACCCCAGTGGGTTTCCCTTACTAACGTGTTGTTTCCACGTCTGCGGGGTAAGTGTGTGCGTTCGTGTCCTCACACTGAAAAGCGGTTTCCTAACTGTGCACCTGCGGGAAGCAGGCTTGACAGCGCCTCCGAAAGCCCGAGCGGCCGCGGCCCTCGCAGGTCCGACGGCGTCGCCTCCCCGTCCCCCCGGACTTACGAAGGCGTCGCTCGCGACCAGCACCACGTTGGGCGCCCCAGCTGCCCGCGGCCTCTGCCCCTCCGACCCGGGGGCCGGCGCAGCCACCCCCGAGGCCGCGATCATCCACATCCACAGCAACAGCATCGCCGGTAGCGGTTCAGAGAGCTGGCCACTGGGCCCGCCTCCTCTTTAATTCTCTCCAGCCGTGAGGAGGGTGGAGCCATCAAGCAACTTCTCTAACTTGAAGTTTGGTTTCCAAAAGTGTACACGATAACGCAGAACCTCACCCCCGGAACTACAACTCCCAGCAGGCGAAGCGCGAAGCCGCGCGCTAAGGATGTCGTCTATCCCAGCCTTAACCACACCAAGTCTTTTCAATCAAATACCGAGCACGGTACTCTAAATCCAGCCACTTCCAGTCACGTGGGCGATGCCGGGGACATACGCATGCGCTTTCGCTTCAGCCTTGGAGATTGCAGTCTACCAGGATCTATCCCAGGTGGGTTTGGGTGGCTGTCGCTTTTGCAGAAGTTGTATCGTAAAGACAGTTGAAATGATACCGTGAGAGCGAATGGATCTAGGTGGATCGGGGCTGTTTGTTTTGCGTGGGACAAGTGTGGCTGAGTGTTAGGGGAGAGCGGTGAACTGGGCAGTGATGAGGTGGCGGCGCGACTGTCACTGAAGTTGGGTGGGGATGTTCCTTGTAGGGCCTCTGGCTGGACGTGCTCCTCGAGTGCACTCCCCGATCCTGCCTCCCCGATTTGCCTCTCGTTGCTTGTGCAGTAAGGATTCTTGTGCTCCCGCGGGGTGCTGAGCGGGGCCTACGGAGAAGTTTCAGGTTCGAGGCTGGGAGAAGCGTAACTAGTTCCTTTCATGGGAAAAACGTTCTGGAGCAGGATGATCTCAGAGGAGGAAATGTTCATGTGACACGTTTAGTTAATTGACGTACGTTTCGAACACTGTAGTTAAGCTGCTGAATAATCAGGTGCATCAGGTGCTGTCCTTCGGTTGTTGAGCTCCTTTGGAGAATTCTGGAAGTAGCAGATTTCTGACGGAAAGCCACCTTCTTCACTGTAGTTTCAGTTGTACAATCACGACTTCACGTTAGTCATTTTTAATATGTTGACAGGAAAAGGACGAGGTGCACTATTTAAAAAATCCACCTATCACTAGTATCTGATAGATTGTGAATTGAATAATTGTAATAAGGGACAGACCCTAAATATTTATATTTTTATTTATTATAAAATAAATAATCTCGCTGTGCAGTTCAGGCTGGCCTTGAGCTCACTTTGTAGGGCCAGGCTGGCCTTGAACTCACAAGGATCCTCCTGCCTCAGCCTCCTGAGTGCTGGGATGACAGATGTGCGCCACCACGCCCGGCTGACCCTAAATATTTAATACTCACATAGCACTATGTGCTGAGAGTTATACTAAGCATTTACTCAACACCTGTGTGTTTCAGGTGCTCTGACAAGGGATATTTTCCACAATCCTCACTTTTGACTATTTTGCAGATAGGAAAACAGACTTGGGGAGATGAAATGGTCCAGTGTTAAACAGGGAGTCAGTCTGCACTGGACAGGAGATTGCAGTCTGTGCCCTAAGTAGCTAGCTGAATACCCTGCTTCTGATTAACTACAAAATTCCCAGATCTTAATGTCTGTTAGTGAAGCTGAGTTGTTACGCACCGTGATAAAGATCCGTGGGAACATGAAAAAATATAAAGAGTAGCCTTTGTCCACACGGAGCTCGTACTCAAGGGAGGCAAAACCTAAACTACATAAAACAATAATAATAAAATATAGAGTCAGGTAGACTCGCTTATGAATAGGATATGTTTCCAAAAATTGTTTGGAGTTAATTTGGAAGGAGAGCACGCTTTACCTAGAAACCATTTGCACTGACATTTAGATTCAGACACATTTAACCTCTCTCTTGCCGTAGTACCAGTTCTGTGGGCTGTGTGTACTCTGTGGTTTTGTCTCTACAGGCCATAATTCTGACCACAGGACGACAGGAAGAAAATGTTTTTCGTTACTTTTTCTGCCCTTGGCAGTGTTAGTTAGGAGCAGACGCTGCAGTGGACTGGAGCGGAACAGCTCTCTCAGGGCCCCAGAGACAAAGCTGTGGAAGACTGTAATGAGGTCCTGCACTGCTTCCTAGCTGACAAGCAATCTGACTTACAACGTTCTTGCCAAGCGCATTGTCCAGCCTGTGCTTTTTCATCTGGAGTTGTGGGAAGCTCACTTCCTTTGAGCAGTCTCTTTGTGTAGATCTGAGTATGAAAAGTTTTTATTTTGAGTTGAAGTCAATCTTGCCTTGCTTTGAAGCACTCATTAATTCCTTCCTCTTCACTTTTACATGGATAATCTCTC